TATGCTTCCTCAACCGACTGCGGAAAGGTAAGCGAGGACCCAAAGCAACTTATTTCTGGGATCCACTCCCGACAGAAAATTCAGAATCTGGACTAAATGAACTGCCTCATGCTGAGCCTGCCCACTTTAATCCCTTTGGGAGAAGTTGTGTCCATCCGGGAATGCTGAGTGACTACACTGCAAAGAAATACCTCTGATCTTTTCGGCTCTCTTTGGCTTCTTACCCAAAAGCCAGGGAAAACTTAACAATGAGCCCAATTAGCTATTCAGATACTTTGGTCTAAACTCAAATCAGTATGATTGATTATCTACTTCTGTTTTGAGTTGGTCATTTAGCCTCATGTTAGACATTCCTTTACTTCATGGTTGGAAGTCACCGGAAAGCAGAAATGAATTTATAAAGATTTGTGGGGGCAAAGAAAATCATGGTATGATGACATGTGTGCCCCAAAGAGCTGCTTAAACCTGATCTGTAACAGCAGTCTGAAAAGTCCAGTGACTTCCCAATAGAATCTTCAAGCAGCAATCCCTGTGGGTGGGGGGAACAGCCTTCTGTGTGCCCTGGATAACCCAGATTATGCCTCTTGCCTCGCCATAATTGGAGTAACACTCCCTATCTCTCGAAAAGTATCCAGGTTTGGACAATTATATGATCACCCTATCCCCTGGGAACCTAGAAGCCTTGGATAATAGTTAATCCCAGAAAACCCAAGGAAATGCAGTAAAATGATGCCTGAGGCCTTCAGTTAAAGGGATATAAAGGATCTAGAACTGCACTGCCCAATATGGTAGCCACTGGCCACGTGAGGCTATTTAAATTAATTAAAATTAAATAAAATGTATTTTGTTAAGAAAATTTAAAATTCAGTTCATTGGTAGCATTCCCTATATTTAGGTGATAAGTGGCCACTATATTGGGCAGAGAAGATATAGTACATTTCCATCATAGCAGAAAGTTCCATTGGACATTGCTGATCTAGAAGTCACCATGAAATTCTTTACATTCATTCATCATATCTATCAAAGACCCTAAAGCAGCAATTGTCAACCAGTGTACCACAAGAATTTCTAAAACATGCAATACCTGATTATTCAGAGACACTGATCTCTTTTCCCTTAAATTGTCAATTTTTTTTTAAAATGACAACAGCCACCCTAGCTGGTTTGGCTCAGTGGATAGAGTGTCAGCCTGCAGATTCAAGGGTCCCAGGTTCAATTCTGGTCAAGGGTCCATACCAGTGCTGCAGGTTTGATCCCCAGTGGGGGGCATGCAGGAGACAGTCAGTCAATGATTCTCTCTCATCATTGATGTTTCTATCTCTCTCTCCCCTCTCCCTTCCTCTCTGAAATCAATAAAAATATATATTTTTTTTAAAATGACAACAGCCAACACAATAGCCATCCAGTGTGAATGCCCTGTCTTGAACCACAAATACATAGGTCATGTAATAGAGTTGCATCTTATTGGTCATATCACATAATAAGGATGCATTGGTTAATTCTTGGTACCAGAAATCCTGATATACAAGTATGGGCTTCTGATTTTTTTTTTTTTTACAAAGTCACTTTGGAGCAAAAAGGGTAAGTAATTACTACTATTATTACTTTTTTGTAATTCCATCAAAATTATACTTTTTTGTCAGATCAGCAAAACATATGTTTTGGTGTGCCACAGAATTTTAGTAATTAGCTTGTGTGCCCTGAGATGAAAAAGGTTGAAAATCGCTGCCCTAAAGCAAAGGTAGGGCAATTCATAACAGATGAGTCTTATTTCCAGCAAGAATAGTAAAATCTTATCTAATGGGAGCAGATTAGGTTTCCTAAAAGTCATACTTAATACAGTTTGTGTCATTTCCCAAGACCTGCAGAAACTTTGTACGTTTGCCTCACAAATTATAAAAAGAATCGTGAGCAGCAAGAAAGAAAATGAAATAGGTTTGTTCTGCCAGCTAAGCAGTTTAGCAGCAGTTTAGGATTAATTCCTTATACCTTCCTCTAGAAACTTGACTGATTTTTGTAAAGTCCTTTGCAGAATTCCCTTTTTTTTCAGAATTCTTTCTTGGATTTTATTTTTAACAGAACTTCGTCACTTACATGTAGATTTTGGAAGCTTTCTGATTGCTGCTTCATGACACTTGAGGGGGAATGTTTTTCTCCTCCATATCTGATTCTGATTAGTGCTTTTTGTTTTATTATGTTTTTATTAAACATTTTATTTTAGCAGTTTTGAAATACACATTATTTTTCCACAGTTATAAGTTGGTTATTTTACAACTTGATTTTATTTAAGTAAAACTGAATTAGTCACTTTAACAAACTCATCTTTTTTTATTTTATATTGTTGACACTATTGCAGATAGTGTGGTGTTTTCCTCACGTCTAAGTTCCATTTAAAATTATTGGGTTCTGCCGTAGCTGGTTTGGCCCAGGTTTGATTCTGATCACGGGCACATGCCAGGTTGCAGGCTTGATCCCCAGTAGGGGGAGTGCAGGAGGCAGCTGATCAATGATTTCCTCTCATCATTCATCTCTAAAATAGCGGCTTTGTTTTGGCATTCTCCTTGTTATTTTTGGTTGTTTGATTATTGACTGTAACTACCTGAACATGACTTTGTCTCCCAGTAGCTTTTACAATAACAATAGTTTTTCTTAAAGTCAAATTAAAATTAAAATGTGTAACAGGAAATATGTATTCCACTGCAAGGATGACAGCAGGGAAAATAATCTCATTACCTTCCCAAAGAACAAAGTAGGAATTCTTTAAAAATATTTACTAGCCCTAGCCGATTTGGCTCAGTGGAGAGAGCGTTGGCCTGTGGACTGAAGGGTCAGGTTCAATTCCACTCAAGGGCACATCCCCAGGTTGTGGGCTCCCCGGTGAGGGGTGTACAGATACATGCCCTTGACCGGAATCGAACCTGGGACCTTTCAGTCCGCAGGCCGACGTTCTATCCACTGAGCCAAACCGGTTTCGGCTAATAAAAATATATTTTTTAAAAAAATATTTATTAAGCATCTTCCATTAGCTAGGTGGTTTTTTTTAAGATTTTTGTTGTTGGAGAGGAGGGCAGAGGGAGAGAAAAACATCGATGTGAGAGTGAGCCATCGATTGGCTGCCTCCTGCAGGCCCCCTACCAGGGACTGAGCCCACAACACCAGCATGTGTCCTAAATGGAAATTGAACCAGCAACCTTTTGTTGCACGGACGACACCCAACCAACTGAGCCACACCAGCCAGGGCATGTTTTTGAGAGTAAAGATTCTCAGGTAATGAGATGATTAAGACCACTCTCAACTTGTCTGGATTCTATTACCCGAACGCATTTTGAGACATTTTTCAAAGAATGACATCATATTTTATAGTACTGAGCAATGGCTATTAGACATTTCCAAAATGTGTATTAAAAGACAAAAGAATACTGAGTTTTACATAGTTTCTCCAAGATTACCACAGATTATTCTCAAAATATTAGTTAGTGGGAATGTACAAAGTTACTGGAAATGTGTTTTCAAACTCATTTCTGGGAGTGAAGACTGTACTTATTTTTAACAAACGTTTTATAGCTTGCTGATGGTCTAATTCAAACAATGTTAAGTGTCTTTTTTCCACTCAGAAATTAATTTATAAATAGAAAGATGAAATTAGCAGGGAAGTAAACAGATTGACAAGCAAATTGATAAACTCTTGAACATTCTACACACTCACTGTTCACTGTGTCGTGGATATTTATTTGTTAGGGTTGCCATAACAAAATACCACAGAGCGTGTGGCTTAACCAGCAGGAGCTTATGTTCCCACAATTCTGGAGGCTCAAAGTCCAAGATCCAGGGGGGTCAGCGGGGTGGCTTTCTTCTGAGGCCTCTCTTTTTGGCATCCAGATGACTGTCTTCGCACAGTGTCCTCACATGGTCTTCCCTTCGTGCACCCACTTATCTGTGCCCAAATTTCCCCGTTCTTATAATAACAGTCCGATTGGACTAGGGCCGACCCTAACAATTTCATTTTAACTTAATCTTCTCTTTAAAGCTCCCATCTCCAAATATAGTCACATTCTAAGGTACCAAGGGTTAGGGATTTAACATACAAATTTGGGGGAGGAGGGGGTACACAATTCAGTCCATAACTCGTAGCAAAACACCTGTTTTTGTATCACTGAAAAATATTTTCTCAGGCACAATATCAAACTTTTCAGGTTAAAAATAAGCTCATTTATTACCTGGATATGTTCCTTCACAATATTAAACATCTGGCTATTTGGGACTATCTGAACAGGTTGACTGACTTACCTTTCAAGTGTGCACTTAGCATTGTGTAAATATTACATAAGTGTGAATCTTGGGCAAAATTCCACACAAAAATTAACATGTGTGTTTGTTTGAGTAAGTTTTAAGTCATGTTCAATACAATGTTATATTTGTAGAAGGGTCGCAGAATATTTTTTAAATGCAAAAGAAATTTTTGTATTTGTTTTCCTGTACCAAAGTGGCT